CCTCCCAGGGCCGCCCTGCTCCCTCCCATGGCCGCTCTGCTACCTCCCAGGGCAGCCCTGCTCCCTCCCAGGGCGGCCCTGCTCCCTCCCACAGTCCAGGGCCACCCTACTCTCTCCTAGAGTCGAGGGCTGCTCAGCCAATACTGTCCCTGGCAGCGAAGGAAAGTGTCCGGCCTGTTAGTCACCTGGAGCCGCAGTAATAATCCTCTCTGCTCCCGTGTAATATCTGGCAGTGACCTCTGACCCAGGCTCCTCCAAGTTCGGTATTGCTCCCATTGAGGCATTACTGAATGGTATTGTGTTGTGAGGTTGAGAGGTGTTGGGAGTCAGGCACTCGATGCCAGCCACTAATGTAATATGCCAGGTACTGGAGAGCTGCCTGGGGTGAGGCTTCCCTCCGGGGGAAAGGTCGATGAGGGGGTGAGGGCTCCCTCCGGGGAGGGCAGTGGGGGGTGGAGGTTTTTTTTTCTTGCTATCACACACCTGCTGGAGGTTATATATAAGCAATGAGCCAGTCTTGAGGCGTTCGTCTAGGAGACAGTATACTTTTGTGATGAACTTTTGTTATATAAAGTGTAGTTCGCGGCCTAACGCGGAGGGCGTGTGTGGTTGTCACGGCGTGTCATGACACTTGGGGTGTGCGTGGCGGCCACGGAGGGGGAGGATATGACACGGAGAGTGCACGTGGCGCAGAGAAGACGCCTCTTAATGGCTTCTCACGCGTTAAGTCCTCGTGTCATTGATAAATACGGAGCCCCCTGATGACCGTAAACACTGTGTGGTTTATGGTGCCACCTTAATGCCTTGTGTAATCAGGGGGAGGGGGGTGTTGACACTAGGGGGAGCTGCCCCCTGTGGTTAACACGAGGGGAGCTGCCCCCTGTGGTTAACACGTGGGGAGCTGCCCCCTGTGGTTAACACGAGGGGAGCTACCCCCTGTGGTTAACACGAGGGGAGCTGCCCCCTGTGGTTAACACGAGGGGAGCTGCCCCCTGTGGTTAACACGTGGGGAGCTGCCCCCTGTGGTTAACACGTGGGGAGCTGCCCTCTGGGTTAACACGTGGGGAGCTGCCCCCTGTGGTTAACACGTGGGGAGCTGCCCCCTGTGGTTAACACATGGGGGAGCTGCCCCCTGTGGTTAACACATGGGGGGAGCTGCCCCCTGTGGTTAACACGTGGGGGGAGCTGCCCCCTGTGGTTAACACGTGGGGGGAGCTGCCCCCTGTGGTTAACACGAGGGGAGGTGCCCCCTGTGGTTTAACACGAGGCTTTTTCTGCAGTAATGAAAAGATAAAGTGTCAAACTCAACAATCAAATCTCCACTTTTATGGAAAACAATGAACTTCACAATCCAAGTCATCATGCATGGAAGAAGATTCAATCTTTCGCAAAGACTGAACTACAACGACAAAATTACAGAAGAATTAGAAGAAAAACAAAATGCAGATGTTGTATGGACGCGTTTTGCAAAAGGCATTCGACAAATGTGACCATGGAGTGATAACTCATAAAATGAGATCACTCCATGGTATAACGGTAAAGTGGGGCGTTGGATTTTCAACTTTATGTCAAATAGAATGCAGAGACTGGCGGTCAGTCAAATAAGATCAAGTCTAATCTGTACCCCAGGGCACAGTCCTGGCACCGCTGCTCTGTACCCCAGGGCACAGTCCTTGCACCGCTGTACCCCAGGGCACAGTCCTTGCACCGCTGTACCCCAGGGCACAGTCCTTGCACCGCTGTACCACAGGGCACAGTCCTTGCACCGCTGCTCTATACCCCAGGGCACAGTCCTTGCACCGCTGTACCCCAGGGCACAGTCCTTGCACCGCTGTACCCCAGGGCACAGTCCTTGCACCGCTGTACCCCAGGGCACAGTCCTTGCACCGCTGTACCCCAGGGCACAGTCCTTGCACCGCTGTACCCCAGGGCACAGTCCTTGCACCGCTACTCTGTACCCCAAGACACAGTCCTTGCACCACTGCTATTTCTCATTCTTATCTCTGATATAGACAAAAACACTAGCACAGCTTCCTGTCATCCTTTGCAGATGATACAAAAATCACCATGAAATTTTTTTTCTGTAGAAGATACTGAAAAAGTACAGACAGATATAAACAAAGTCTTCGATTGGGCAACTGAAAAAAAATGTTTAACGGTGACAAGTTCCAGGTACTGAGGTATGGTGGAAACAAGGAACTTGAACTAAACACAGGGTACAGGACACAATCAGACCTACTCATAGAAGGAGAGCAACAGGTAAAAGATCTAGTAATTTTTGTGTGCCATTTAGTGAACATAACCGAGCACATATAGCAGCGGCCAGGACAATGATAGGATAGATTATGAGAACGTTCACATCCAGAGACCCCACAGCAATGGTAATACTATTTACATCACTGGTGCTGTCCCGTCTTGAGTATTGCTCGGTACTCACTTCCTTCTTTCAGAGCGGGAGAGATCTCTGAATTAGAGGGAATACAGAGAACATATTGAGCACGCACAGAAACGATAAAACATGTAAATTATTGGGACCGTCTCAAAGCTCTCAAAATGTACTCTTTGGAAAGGAGACGAGAAAGGTATCAAATAATATATACATGGAAGATACTGGAGGGCCAGGTCCCAAATTTGCACAGTAGAATAACAACATACTGGAACGAAAGGTACGGAAGGAAATGCAGAATAGAACCAATGAAGAGTACAGGTGACATAGGTACAATAACAGAACACTGTCTGAACATCAGAGGTCCACAGCTATTCAACACCCTCCCAGCAAGGATTAGAAATATTGCCGGAACAAAGGTGTATATATTCAAGATCTGGTTGATGGGGTTCTGGGAGTTCTTCTACTCCCCAAGCCCGGCCCGAGGCCAGGCACGACTTGTGAGAATCTACAAAAGGCACTTAGGTAAGTTCTTGCCAAAAGTGCCGGACCAACCAGGCTGTAGTGGATATATGGGGCCCCTGCGGGTCGCTGCAAGCAACAGCCTGGTGGACCAAGTTATCACAAGTCGTGGCTGTCCTCAGGCCGGGCTCTGGGAGCAGAACGCACCCTAACCTTAACATACACAGGAAAGGAAATGTCAACTGCTGCTAGGGTCATTAAACACAAGTACAGCAATAACTACTTGGGTTAGAGAATACTCTTGACGATTGAGAAAACGGCAGGCGAATGATGCTAACTGAGCTATCTTGAAGTTATCTTGAGATGATTTTGGGGCTTAACGTCCCCGCGGCCCGATCCTCGACCAGGCCTCCTTTTTGTTACACACCCCCAGGAAGCAGCCCGTAGCAGCTGGCTAACTCCCAGGTACCTATTTACTGCTAGGTGAACAGGATCACTAGGATGAAAGAAACTCTGCCCATTTGTTTCCGCCACCACCGCGGGATCGAACCCGGAACCTCAGGACTTCTCAAGGGAGAAGTCCCTTCCCTTCCCTTCTCAAGGAAGGGAAGGGAAGGGAAGGTAATAGGGAGGTGGAGGTCTACGGTGAGAGAGAAGGTCATGTCAAGTCACTGTTCGACATGATTAACTAAACGGTAGGTATTTACCCCAGGAGTCTTGTTTGGCCAGCTAATGCAACTAACGAGGCTTCTTCTCTTGTTTAAAGACTCCTCTTCTCTCTTCTTCTCTCCTGTTCCTTCACCATTATCACCAATCTTCGCTTCTTATGCTCTTCTGTCCTGTTTAATACTCGTAATATTTGCCGCAGTTCAATACTTCCGTGCTGTCATTTCTGTCTCGACGCGTCTGCCTTCCCCGTCTCCTACCTGTCAACGTCCCCGTCTTCTACTGGTATTTCGTGTCTGTTGATGGTGAAGATAGTGATAACGGTGCCAACAGTGTGTTGTGCGCCTGGTTGACCAGTCCAGCAACCAGGAGGCCTGGTCGACGACCGGGCCGCGGGGACGCTAAGCCCCGGAAACACTTCAAGGTAACCAGGTGATAGTGAACCGTTAGGGTGGTGATTAATGGTGCTCTGCCCTCGCTGTCACTCTCACCATCCATCACCATCATCACCTTTTGCTCCTATTACTGTATTCCACCTTTGCCAGCCTCTCACCTCTCCCTATCTCCCCCTCTTCCTCCTTATCCAGGGTTATTCGTAGCTTCGTAACCGGTTATTAAGGGATCAATAGGAGTCCCCCAGGGAGGGGGGCAGTTTACCCCCCAATATCAGGGGGGGGGCTGCACTCTCTTGGCTCCGCCCCCCCCCCTCCCCCCTACCATAAATCTCCGGTAGAGTGCGCATTGCGGAGGGATTTAGCTGTGCACTCGAGACCCGCACCGCCTCGAACTCTGGGGCGTAAATATTCCTGAAGTATGAGACAGTATTTGACGGCGAGGGAGGGGGGGGGGAGAGGTGTGGGGGGGGGGGGTTATGAGGGGAGGTTTGTTGGTACCCAGCTCCTGTGGGCCATTGGGCAACCCGTTCTCGCAAATTTAATAAGTCAATATGGACTTATTAAATATGTGCATAGGTGACATACTTAACATAATAGTTTCCCTTGAAAAGCTTCATAGAAAACACCGACCTTACCTAACCTACTTAGTATGTTAAGATAAGCATCTCATTGCTTCGTAATTACAATTATTACCTAACCTATACCAATAATAGGTTAAGTAACAATTGTAATTACGAAGCTATAAGATGCTTTTTTTAACATACTAAGTAGGTTAGGTAAGGTCGGTGTTTTCTATGAAGCTTTTCAAGGGAAACTATTATGTTTAGTATGTCACCTATGCACGCAACTAATAAGTCAATATTGACATTAAATTTGCGAGAACGGGTTGCATTGGGACCTCGTACCCAGCTCCTGTGAGTCATTAAGACCACGTACCCAGCTCCTGTGAGTCATTGGGACCTCGTACCCAGCTCCTGTGGGCCATTAAGACCACGTACCCAGCTCCTGTGAGTCATTGAGACCACGTACCCAGCTCCTGTGAGTCATTGGGACCTCGTACCCAGCTCCTGTGAGTCATTGAGACCACGTACCCAGCTCCTGTGGGCCATTGGGACCACGTACGCAGCTCCTGTGGGCGATTGGGACCACGTACCCAGCTCCTGTGAGCCATTAAGACCACGTACCCAGCTCCTGTGGGCCAT